CACAGAAATAAATCTTGTAATTTTGCTATAGGCACAGGTTTCTTAGAAAAGGCAATAAAGGTACAAACAACAGACGAGAAAATACACTGAACTTTATGAAAATTAAAAATTTGTGTACTCCAAGGTCATCATCAAGAATCTGAAGACTACCCAAAGAATGGGAGAAAATATGTATCTTATAAGCGACTTGGATACAGAATACATAAAGAAAAGATATAGTTCAATACGCAAAGACAACCCAATTTAAAAAATGGACAAAGGATCTGAATAGACATTTCTCTAAAGATGAAATACAAATAGCCAATGAAAAGATGCCCAACATCATTAGTCAGGGAAACGCAAATCAAAACCACAGTGAGAATCTACTTTGCACACACTGGGAGGGTTATAACCAGTAAGACAGATAATAACAAGTGTTGGCAAGAAACTGGAACCATCATACAGTGCTGGGTGGAATGTAAAATGGTACATCTGCTTTGAAAAAAGTCTAGCAGTTTCTCAAAAGGCTGAACAGTTACCATATGACCCAGTAATTCCACTAATACACAAATTTTGTTGATGGCAGTATTAGCAACGATAGCTGAAAGGGGGAAACAACTCCAAATGTCCCATCAACAAATGAATGAATGGCATATCTATACAATGGAATATTATTTGGCAACAAAAAGGAATGCAATACATCAAATCTACAACATGGATGGACCTTAAAGATATTATGCTAAATGAAAGAAGTGAGTCCCACATGGCTATATCTATATTATTCCATTAATATGAAATTTCCACAATAGGCAAATATATATTCAGAAAAAGCAGATTCATAAGGTTGTGGGAGAATAAGGGGAAAAAGAGTGACTGCTACTGGATACAATGGTTATTTGGGGGGTGAAGAGAATATTCTAAAACTGATTGTGGTGATGGTTGCATGACAGTAAATACACTAAAAAGTGCTGAATTGTACGCTTTAATTAGGTGAATTGTAGCCCAATAAATATGTTAAAAGAATAAATTTGAGGTAAATTTCTATATGCACACACATAAACATTATAGTGTTTTACTTATTTTATGTTTATATGTTTTACACCGAAAATTTTGATTCCTGATAACATTATGATTGTCTTATTTATAGCTGTATGTATACAAATAAAAATAGTACCTGAATAACAATATTATCAAATTAGTAAAAACAAGGTAAGATTTTTCTGTAGTTCTTTTTATTCTAAGCTGTATCCCACCAAGAAGCATGTTCAAAATACTGTGTTATAAAGTTATTTGATACAGATCATGAGAGTTTAAATCAGTGAGGTTTGTTTCATTATACTTTTTTGGGATCACCTTCCCCCCATTTCAACTTAATTTTGTTTTATAATTACATAAAATATTTACATGGTTACAATGTCAAAACATGGTATGTTTAGAGAAGTCGAGCTTCTATTCTTGTTCCTTTCAATCTTTTTTTGTCTTCTCTTATTGGTAACTGTTTTATTTATTTTATGGTATATTCCTTCATTTTAAAACAAATTATAAGCAAATACATAAATACATAAATGACAGCCAACTATATACAACAGACACTGCTTTTTTTTTTAAAACATTATATTCTGTAGATCACTGTATATAGAAAAGAATTCATTCCAGTAGTTACAAAAATGCAAAACAGCCTTACAAAATATTTGATAGCAATGGTACAGAAGGACACAGTATGATTTTCATTCTGTAGGATGGAAAATTCATTCCTCTATTATTTCAGCACAGCACTCTATTATTTCAGCCTGGGCATCCAGCGTATGGATGCACTATAATCACCCAAGTCCACCACCCATAGATACAGGTTGTATTCAATATTTTGACATTATTGTAAACAGAGATGCTGTATTTAAATTTCTGTCAGTTTACCTCTGGGTTAATTTTCTAGAAGTGGGATGCTGAGTCAAAGGGCAAATCTGTGAATAACTGTCCCTAATATTGTCAAATTCCTGTCCACAGAAGTTGTTCCATTTTGCATTCCCCACAGGTAGTATATGAGAGTGTTCATTTCCCTACAGCTCAATCAATATGAAAATGCTATGGAACTTTTGGATTTTTGCCAGTGTGACAGAAGAAGAAGAGTATCTCAGTGTAATTTTAATATGAATTTCTCTTAGTATGAGTTAAATTGAACATCTTTTTATATACTCAAGAGCCATTTGCATTTGTTTTTCTGTTGATATCTTTAGTTTTCTACAGAGCCGTTGGTCTCTCTCTTATAAAAGTTGTTTATACATGAGAGATAATAATATGTGGCAAATATTTTTTCCAATTTATCTTTTGTTTTTGTACTTCGTTCACAGTTTTTTCTCCCCAAAGTTTTTCTTTTTCTTTTTTAAAGTTTATTTATTTATTTTGAGAGTCAGAGACAGCATGAGTTGGGAAGGGGCAAAGAGAGAGGGAGGTAAGGAATCCCAAGCAGACTTCCCAATGCTAGTGCAGAGCCAGATGTGGAGTTCAAACCCATGAAACCATGAGATCATGACCTGAGCTGAAACCAAGAGTCAGACACTTAAATGACTGAGCCACCCAGAAGCCCACTCCAAAGTTTTCCTTTTACTTTATGTAATCAAATTTATCAAATTTATCAATCCTTTCCCATATTTTGGATTTTTAGTCCTAGTTAGGAAAAACATCACCATTTCCAGGATACCCATATTTTCTTCCATTATTTATATGTATTAACTTTTTTGATTCATTTGAAATTTGTCTTGTGTTTGGTATGAAGAATGGAGTGACTCTGACTTCTACTAATATATTTGAGTAAGCCTAGTACTTTGCTGGCTTTACAGTCTGTGCATAAATATTCACCTATTCAGTGTAGGAAAAAACAGCACACATTGCTCTGAGACTAGGGAATTTTATATTCCATGTTAGAAAAGAAAAAGTTCCATTTTCACAAAATGAAATCATTCCATGTTCTTCTGTACTACTGCTATTAAATACTTTGAAAGACTTTTTGCATTTCTGCAACTAATGGAATAAACCACATACTTTCTTACTGGTTGTGTCAAGTAAGATAAAACTAAACCCAAGATAACTAATTCCTGGATAAAGATGTTTATTAACTGAAATTAAGGTTAAAAGATGAAAATTAAGATTAAATGGGAGTCTTACACAGGGTAAGTGCTCAGTATCTTTTTAACTGAAATTTCATCAGTGCAATTCCATAGGTAGTTTTAGTTGTTTTGGGAAAAATAAAAAGAACTGTAAAGCTTATGAGGTTCAATTATGAAAATGTACTAGGAATATCATCTATCATTATTAATATTATCAATTTTATTATTTTTCCCACTCCCAACATTATCAATTTTAAAATTAATCTCTCCTCACATCAACATTATGTGATAAATGTATATTGGTATTTTCATGAGAAAATTAAATGGTTGAATCAGTAGCAAAATTAGAACTTACACTATTTGTTACACAGAGAAAAATGTATAGTACTATAAATAATCTTTAAGTTTGATATTATTTATATTTATGCCTATTATGTGTTAAGTTCTAAAGAAATTTTTTAAAAGAATAAAAATTTCTACATGTGAAACATAAAGCAGACTGCAAATGTCAGGTCTCTGGGATGAAAAAGTCTCACTCTATTTTAACTGCTCAAGCTTATAAGGACTTGTTATTCAATGAATGGCCTCTAATCTACAATAGACAGAGTGAGAAAAGTAACATATGATAACATCAATGATTAATCTACAGTCTCATTTTGGCTACTGGATCCAACCACCTCCTTAAGCAAACCTTTTAATTTCAACCTGATCACAAGAACAAAAAAACATGGCCTCAACTTCAGCATTTTAAATCTCCCTCTACTTGAGGTAGTGATGTCTAATGAGCTGGGAGATAATGGGGAAAGAGGCAGGAAGAAAAATGACAAAAGTCCAGATGATATACAGTTCACTATTGGCTATTAAAAAACTTCATTTTATAGATGAAAAAGTTACTGCTCAGAGTTTGTGAGCTGCACAAAGTTGCATAGTTGGTTAACGGCAAAGCCAAATCCAGGTTTCAGGTTTCTGACTCTGGGTCAAATGTTCTTTCCAGTTTGCTGTTCAACTGGTCAGATTAGATAATTGGGGGAAAAAGGTGAAGCTGGCTCAATGTCAATATGAATTCTATGTCAGCTTAAAAGTGAAACCCAGTTTTAAACATTCAATTCCATTCTTTTCCATTATTTAAATTACTGAGAAATCTCAATATGAAAATTCAATTGTTTTTACCTTTGCCTAATATATTCTTTTTTCTCTATATTTAATCTTGGGAAGTAAATACTTTTCAACTGGAAATTATTACCTTATTGAATATAAAACTCTTTAATCAAAACAAAATTCCATAAACATTACTTTTAGGTAGGAGACTAAAAGGGTAATCCTACTATAGGTTCCACCCTAAATGTACTGAACATTTAATAATCATATTTAATTAATCTGTACCATTTAGGATAGAAAAATAGAAGCTAAGATCAAATTCTAGTCTAAAACATACTAAGTATACTTACTATGGATCAGGTACTGGTGCTAGAGTCAGAAAATAAATTGACAAATCAAAGTAAAAATCACAGTATTTATAACCCTTGGGACTAAGCTCCTTTAGGCCATACTCCTGATTGAAGGAAGTAAAATCTCAGTGGCCTTTTATATAAGTATTCAATATTTCTGATGAAACATGACTTCAAAGAGCATTTCCAAAATAAAATATAACAATTTAAACTCAAAAAGTCTTCTAAAGTTTCTTAAATTACTGAGAACACTATTTAGTTATATTCATAAATGCTAACTTCAGTTTTATGAATTCTCAATGGTACAATCATCTTATTTCAATAATATAACATTTATAATACTCCAAAATATATTTAGAGATAGAACCTAGATCCCAAATTACTTGTCTGAAATGGAAACTGTCCAAATCTATCTAAAGTTTCTCTTTCCTGAGTTTGGGACCTTGCTCATGGGAAAGGAGACATGTACCTTTCCATGACAGCCAGGCACTCCTTTCTCCAGGTAAATCGACTCCCTCGTCGTAGTCGGAAGGTGCCAGATGTGGCAGAGACTGGGGGCGGTGTTTGTCTCCATTCTGGGTCCTCTATTGGAATGGGGGCTGGTCTCATACTTAGTGTAGCCCCTGAAACAAACAAGACATTTTAGCAAACTATCCTGCAATTTATTAAAACCAATGACAAATATAACCATGAAACCAACAATAAATTTTTGCCCTTCCACTAAAACTTGTGAGCCAAATACATTTGATATTTACATTAAAAAAAAAAATCCCCTGGGCCTTTCATAGTGCCCCACGCCAGTGCAAATTTTTGCCTTGAAACATTGCCTGGCCTCTGGGCTGCACGCTACAGGCAGTGAAGCATGGGGACATTGAAAAAAAATATGACCCAAACAAAAATCCAAAGGGACAAAAACTCTCCATAAAAAGTTCATCATTATTTTAAAATGTCAATTTTTTGGGGTCACTTGTCATTTATGTCATTTTTTCAAACAAAACCCCAAATCTATCTCTTTAAGGGAATAGGGAAATATTGGTATTCGGACCAATGAGAACTTAATTTTCCTTTAAAAAGATGTTTATTTATTTATTTACTTCAAAGTTTATTTAGTAATTCTGAGAGAAAGACTGTGAGTGCGAGTTGGGGAGGAGCAGAGAGAGGAGACAGATGAGTATCAGAAGCAGACTCTGCACTAACAGTGTGGAGCCCAGTGTGGTGTTCAAACCACAAACCTAGAAGTCATGACCTGAGCTGATACCATGAGTTGGATGCTCAACTGACTGAGCCACCCAGGCACCCCAGTTTAAGTCTTTTTTAACAATACATAATATATATTCAGAACTTTTCATTACCACTCAAAGGACTTTTTGTTATCAAGAAAATGGAGCCCTTAAAGAATATATGCAGGTAGAAGATGAATTTAAAACAACCCTAAATATTGTAAACTCTTAAAGAAAAAGTTAAAAACAGTACCAAAGACAATGAGGTAGTTTTTGATAAGATGTTAGTCTATTAGTTAACTAAAATCAGATCTCCAAAGGTCTACTACTTCTTAAAGTGATACTATTTTCTGTTACCTCTTGAGTGTAATAAAACCAATGGGGGAAAATGTAACTGGAGTATTTTATTAATTTAGACTAGGCTTTTCTCAAATAATGAACTGCTGATAATGCATGTTTTCATCATTCACCAACTCCCACCCCCTTTCTTTTGGCTTGCTATAGACTAGAAGCTATGAATAAAACAAACAAAAAAAAGCAATACTGTCTCTGACCTCTAAAGACTTATTTCAAAGATTTTAAATATAACGTGGTATGCATTCACAGAGCTCAGTCCCTGGATCTCCCATTGTTCCTTCATTCTTTATAATGCTAAATTCATCTTCCCAAAGGATAATTATGATCATAGCATTCCCCTGACCAAAAGCCTTAAAAAAGTTCCCTCTACTTATGGAATAAAATGCAAACTCTTTTTTTTTTTTTTTTTACAAATAGTTTATTGTCAATTAGTTTCCACATAACACCCAGTGCTCATCCCCACAAGTGCCCTCCTCCATGCCCATTTCCTCCCTCCCCCCCACATCCATCAGTCCTCAGTTTTTGTCAGCATTCAAGAGTCTCTCATGGTTTGCCTCTCTCCCTTTCCCCCACCATTTTCCTCCTTCTTCTCCCCCTTGTTCCTCAGTTAAGTTCCTCCTAATCCTCCTATACGTGCAAACATATGATATTTGTCCTTCTCTGCCTGACTTATTTCGCTAAGCATAACACCCTCAAGGTCCATCCATGTTGCTACACATGGCCAGATTTCATTGTTTCTCATTGCCATGTAGTATTCCATGGTATAGATAAACCACATCTTCTTGATCCATTCGTCCATTGATGGACACTTAGGCTCTTTCCATGTTTTAGCTATTGTGGAGAGTGCTGCTATGAACATTGGGGTACATGTGCTCCTATGCATCAGCATTTCTGTATCCCTTGGGTAAATTCCTAGCAGTGCTATTGCTGGGTCACAGGGGAGTTCTATTGTTAGTTTCCCGAGGAACCTCCACACTGTTTTCCAGAGGGGGTGTACCAGTTTACATTCCCACCAACAGTGTAGGAGGGTACCCATTTTTCCACACCCTCGCCAGCATCTAGAGTTCTCTGATTTATAAAATGCAAACTCTTAATCTATCCCTAGAAAGGTTAGAATTCTTAGAATTATGTAGAATAATGCAGATATTAATAAATATTTATTTCTTCATAACAGGAATTGTACTTTATTTTTATTTTATTTATTTACTTGAGAGAAAGAGAAAGTGTGCATGAGCATACAGCTGGGGTGGGGGGGGAGGGAGAGAGAGGGAGGGGGAGAGAGAGAGAGAGAGAGAGAGAGAGAGGGAGAGAGAGGGAGAGAGAGAGAGAGAGAGAGAGAGAGAGAGAGAGAGAGAGAATCTTAAGCAGGCTCCATGCTCAGTACTGAGCTGGATGCGGGGCTTGATCCCACGACCCTGAGATCATTACTTGAGCTGAAATCAAGATTTGGACGTTCAACTAAGTCATCCAAATGCCGTCATACTTTGTTTATTGTACCTTGCAATTAATACCTTGGGTAGTGTTTCTACTTCACTACATGTAGATCTCTTTGTAGATTCACCTTAGTAGCTACATATTTATATGCATTCTCTTATACAGAGGCCCAATATTTTAACCAATCCTGATTTTCCTCTCAACCTATTGTCTTACAGTCCTTCCCATCTGAGTAAATAGCATCCCTCTTCTTCAAATCGCTCAGCTCAAAATTCTCATATTCATCTTTGACTTCTCCATTTCTCTGACATACCACATATCTAGTCCATAGCAAACCCTGTCAATTTTATCTTCAAAGTATATCCAGACTCAGATCAATTTGTATTACCTCCACTAACTTTCGAACAAGCCAGTGCCATCTCTCCAAAGCATAACTTTCTGGGATAGGTTTCAAAGATGGCCCTTCACAGTAAGTCACATCTCTTGGTAATCATGCTCTTGAATCTAAGCTTGTCCTGTGACAGGTTTTGACAACGTAAAATGGAAACAAGTTTGAGTCTAGGTCTTAAGAAACCTTGCAGCTTCTAACTAGATCTCCCACAATGCTGGTTCTGGGAGAAGCCAGTTACCATATAAGAAGCATGACTAACCTGACACTATGATATTGTAAGGAAGCCCAAGCTAGCTATGTGGAGTGAAAGATGCCTGGCCAGGGGAGCCTGGGTGGCTCATTCGGTGAAGCGTCCGACTTCGGCTCAGGTCATGATTTCACAGCTCATGAGTTCGAGCACCACGTTCAGCTCTGTGCTGACAGCTCAGAGCCTAGAGCCTGCTTTGGGTTCTGTGTCTCCCTCTCTCTCTGCCTGCTTCCTACCCACGCTCTGCCTCTCTCTCTCCAGAATATATAAACATTAAAAAAAAAAAAATAAAGCAAACAAAAAAGATGCTTGGCCAGCTTCCAGGCCACAGTTAAGGGGAAAAAAGCCATTCTGGACATTCTAGCTATAGCACACACCATGTAGACAACTGTATAACCCAAGAGACAGAGAGGAATAAGACCTTAGGCATACAGCCATTTGGTGATCAGCCTCTAAGGTGGTTCCAAGGATCCCTGCCTCCTGGTATTCACCCTGCTGTGTAGGCCCTTCTCATATTATACCAGGATTAGTCTGTGTGACTAATAACAAATGGTAGAAGTGATGATACATCACTTTTTTTTTTTCAAATAGTTTATTGTCAAATTAGTTTCCACATAACACTCCGTGCTCATCCCCACAAGTGTCCTCCTCCACGCCCATCCCCCCTCACCCCCCCACATCCATCAGTCCTCAGTTTTTGTCAGCATTCTAGAGTCTCTCATGGTTTGCCTCTCTCCCTTTCCCCCACCATTTCCGCCCTTCTTCTCCCCCTTGTTCCTCCGTCAAGTTCCTCCTAATCCTCCTATACGTGCAAACATATGATATTTGTCCTTCTCTGCCTGACTTATTTCGCTCAGCATAACACCCTCAAGGTCCATCCATGTTGCTACACATGACATCACTTCTGATATTAGGTTATAGAATATATCCTGGTGTCTATTTCAGTTGCTCTATCTCTTAGATGAACGACTTGCCTGGGGTAAAAATAGTTGCCAGGTTGTGAGGACACTCAGGGAGCCAAAGGTGAGTGTGTGGTGAGGACTTGGAAATCCCTGGGCAATAAGAAGGAAGGAACTGGGGGCCTGGCAGCACTCACAAGAGTGGCCTTAGAGGTAGACTATCTAGTCAGCAGATAGCTCGGCTACAACCTCATGAGAACTCTGAGCAGAACCACCTTAGCTAAGCCCCTCCTGGATTTCTGACCCAGAGAAAATGTGAGATAATAAATGTTTGTTGTTTTTAGCTAAGTTGTAGGGTAATCTGTTACACAATAGTATAAAATAAATAGAAGACATTACAACCACCTCTAATTATTTATTGCCCCATATTCTCCAAAATACTGAGAATTAGGAGTATTACTAAGTATTCACATTTATAAATTTGACAGGCAAAAAAATTTCCTTTAATACAGAGATTTTACTATTAGTAAGAATAAATATCTTTTCTTGTGAATTTATGTCTTTTGCATTTTCTTTTGAGTTATTCATCTTACTGATGTGTTGAAACAATACCAATTGCTAGTCACACCAACTGCAACTTTTTTTTCCAGTTTGTCATTCATCTTTTATCTTTATTTATGGTGTGCTTTCTGATCTTAAATTTAATGAAGTCAAATTTGTCAACCTCTTCTTTTATGGTCAATATGTTTTGTATTATTCAGAATATTTTTACAGTCTTATTGTTTAAACCCTCAATAGATATATGATTTCCTGGTGTGTGTGATGTGAGGTAAACATTTAGCTTTTTCACAAATGGACAAGTGTATCATCACACAATGCTTTAGAGATTCATGGCTTAAAGGTAGGCAGACTATGGCCTTATGCCATAGTTTAAATAAAGTTTTACTGGAACACAGCCATACTCATTCATTTACATGTTAAATTTACATCAAAGTTTTACATTTACATTACATTTGCATCAAAGTTAACAAAGTTTAGGCAAAGGAGAAAATACAGGGTTGAGGTATTTCAAAGT